CCCTCCCCAAAGACTGCAGAACATATGCATATACAACAACAACACCAAAAAATGCAAACTATGAATCCCCAGGATTTACGAATCTTACATAGCTTTATCAATCAAACTTCTGTGATAAACCCAGAAATCAGCTAAATTCATATCAATACTAACACAATCACATATCGTAAACCAAGATCAAACATTCATCCAGAACACCATAGCATCAAAAGCTTCAAACCCCCAAATTCAATTACGAATACTGTGATTCTCTCATTCGATTAAGAAATGGATTGTAAAAGTTAAACTACAAACCTGTATTGAACGCCCATCTTAATCCCAAGCGACATATCCACACTTCCAACAGCTTCCATAATAGCGAAATACTTGGCCGGATCTTCAGCCACATACCTAAACGGCCTTATCCCAGCTTCTCTCACAAGCCCATACAACTGCCTCATACACAATTCCCGATGATCGTCCTTCGAGATCTCAATCGGCGTTTGTAAATCGGGACGGGAATTGAAGAACTCGTACACTTTCTCCTGTATATCCATGTGTTTTCCCCTCATGTAGAGAGACAACGCCTGACCATTGACCTCTAGCTTCTTCGTCCTCGCCGCGCACGTCTCCGTCTGCACCACCGATGTCGTCGCCGGCTGCGTCGCCACGGCGGGGGAAATGTGTGAGGTCAATCTCTGGATCCGCCTCGTCGCAGCTACCTCGGAATATTCCTCCTCCGTCATCGAATTCCCTCGCCGCGATTCCATTCAAGATTTTTTTTTTCCTTTTTTCAATTAATGGATTACGAAAACAAACAAAAAAATTGTTCGGTTTAAAAAGTGAATGCTTTCACGGCACGGTAGATGACGTGGACATTACAGTCATCGATGACGTGGACATTTATAAGTGGATAAAATTTTGTCTTCTTTTGGCGCGCCTTTCGAGGATATCTTCTTCTGATCTCATCTTCGTTGTCAGGTAAAGAAGATAAACTTGTTAATATTAGGGGTCCAGTACAGGTTTGGGCTTTTCGCTTAATGGGCTTTGTTACGGCCCATTAAGTTAGTGCGGGACCGCGCGCGACTCCCGAGTCGGAGTCCTAAATCCGTAATTCGAAACGCGGGTCAAAAGAAAAATCTTAGATCGGAAAATCCGCACTGGTTCCCGCCTCAACCACCTCAAAAACCCTAATTCTCTACTTCAGAGAGACGAGACTATTTCTTCTCCGATTAAACCAAGATTTCTCAGACACCGACCGATGCAATTGACTCATTGGTCAGTAACCCAAACTCAATCGATTTCTTCTTCGTTGATTTTGGAGTTTTTCGTAATGTACGAATCGCTTCCATTTTCTTGCGTACTGTTCGTTTTTGATTCAGAATTGAAGTTTTCGATGTGGGTTTTGTTGAATTTCTCATTTTGGGTTTTGATTGTAACTCTGAAAATTTTTAGGGTTTTTGTTTTTGTTTTGGGGGTAATTCGTTTCTCGGTGAAAATTTGATTTTTGAGTACTGATTTTGTTGCGTTTCTTGATTGAAATTGAATTTTTTTTTCTTCTTTTTTGTTTGTTAAGATGACTGAAGATAGTTGCAGCTTAGTGTCCAAGAAAACCCGTCTTGCGTTGTGTGATATGACTAATGTTCCAAGCAAGAGAGGAATTTCGTCGATTTTGAGTGATTTGCTTTTGAAATCTGGAGATGATACCGGTAAGACCGTTGCTCGTGAAGGCTCCGGGGTTAAGTTTTCGAAGAGGTTGTGTTTAGTTGTAGACGACTTGGTCAAGGAGAGTACTAGGACTAGTGATACAAACGAAGGTTCTTCTTCTGATGATAAGAATAGTTCAGGTGATGGTGATTCTGAAAATTTCGATGTAAAAGAATCTCAGGGTGAAACCAATGCAGTAGAGAATGGTGTTCAGCATTCGAAAGGTGAAGAAGATGGTAAAGATTCTGTGGTGGAACTTAGTCAGAGAGAGTGTGAGAAGGACTCGAGCATGACTGTATTTGCAAGTCAAACCGATGCTACTACTGGTGAAGAGTTAGCTATGACTGTGAATTCTCAGCCTAGCAACTCTTTTAGTATCAGTAGGTGTTCAACTGTTGGCGGTATGGGGATTGTAAATCACGATATGGAAGCCGATGATGAGCTTAGATCTTGCTCTTGTTCTTTTTGCCTGAAAGGTTGTCTGATTCTTCAGTGTTGTTTTTTTGTTAATACTCTCTCTTTACTTCTTAATAACATTGTCTAACTTAGTTTGTGTATGTAATGAATGTCTTCAGCTGCATATATCTGGTCAGATCTTCACTACCAGGATATCAAAAGTCGATTATCTGGTAAGTGTTCAACACTCGGAGTCGATTAGTAATGGTAAGTTCCGTGTATGGTCGTAATGAAATTATGTTTGAATGCAGTTTTGAAGAAGAGCCAGAAAGAAGCTAATAGCTTGATCCAAAGGAATGGTAAAGAAAAGCCAACGGATATTCATGGATCTGAAAACTCAAATAACTCGACAAATTCAGAATCCGATCTCATGGGTCAATTGACATCTCTCTTTCTTAACATGGAGGGTATCTTGGCTCGTGAAAGCAGCCACCTTGTAAGTTACTCAGAGCTTCTATATCAGATTCTTAGAACAAATCTTCAAAAGTGTTGTAATTGAGTAATGTCTGTAAAATTTGGGTCCTGTGTTTTGATGTCCATTGTTATTGATAATCTGCAGCAGAATAGCTTCGTATCGGTGAAAGAGTTGAGAGAAAATTGCAAGATTGATCTGGAGAAAGCGGCAAAAACTCCTCAACACAACAACACCTAGGTACTATTGTTCCTTTACTTGGTTTAAATGCTTGTAAGACTCTGTAACCTTCTTCATGATTTTTGAAGCAACTCATGTATGTATCATAACTTCTATTGTCAACACATTTGATTTGAATCTATTTTAGTGGCACACTTGGTTCTTCTAGCAAATTGTTCCTGTTCGTTGAGAATTTTATACACAATATTGGTCTCTGTCCTTATGTTACTGCATATTTTCCTTTAGTAACAATTTTTGGGTTAAGAAAAACGAGTTATCATCTATAGGAACCTTAATAATGAAGTGATTCAAAGTGTCATTTAACTATTGTTGGGATTCTAAAGTAAAGATAAGAGGTAGCAGCAATCGGTGCGAGTCCACTGTTACTGATAATCTATAGAGTATAGAGATCCATTGAATCATGATAAATATTGATTAGCTACCTAATCATGTCTTATAGATTAGCAATGAACTAATTAAGAATAGGGGATATTCATTAGTTTCTGCTTTGACATGCAGAAGTCAACTATTTAATATTTTTTAGAAAAAGAGATGGCTAATAGTCAACTAGTTCCGTCGTTTGAGTAGTTTCATCTTAAATTCTTTTTGGTTTTTTTTTTTTTAAATTGACTTAAGTTCACATCCATTTCTACAATTTTGAATTTAGATGATGAAATTGAAAAATCACTAAACTAAATAAATTCGGTAACTTTTATGGTTTTCGTTTTAAATTTTCATATCATCAAATTTAGTTTTATATATGTAGTTTAATAGTTTGGTTCG